GGACTGCACCAGTGCCACCGATCCCGGAGCCAGCTGTGGGCTGCTAGTGCCACCTGGAGTTAAACAGCTCCTCCCAAAGCCTGCCAGCTCCCAAACTCTGGAGCACAGAGCCTGCAAAGCACCCAGCCAGCAGCACCAGTACAGTCTGTGCCATGGCTTGGGATCCCATTTCCACACACTGACCATTCCAAAGGCTCAGCACAGAGAGCCAGGCTGAGCTGGGCACAAGAGCTGCAGGAACTGGGAACCTCAGCCCAAGATGGGCCAGCAAAAGCCACCAAAGCTTTTAAAAACCTCAGCTCCAGGTTGGTGAGCACTTGACAAGCCCAGCCTTCAGTATTTTTCTGAAGTCAGCCTCTTGCCTGCCCTTCCCCACTAAAAGCCACAGGCCAAAGCACAGCTTTAGCTGCAGCACAAAGTCAGAGCACAACAGTTCAAGTGGCTGCTGAAGCCCAGACTATTTCAGATAAGAGCTGTCTCTTAATGCACCACTTGTCTTTGGAGACAAGTAAAATAGAGGTGTCCTGGGCACCCTGGGGATAATTTGTAGCCTTCCTTAACCAGCAAGGATAGAACCAACTGGACTGTAGCAAAACTGTCCTTGTGGGACAGAATAATTCATCCAATGTCAGCAGGGTCAGCCTTTGGCATCATTAACCCATTCCCAGTGTGCTGCCAGGCAGGGAAAGCAGGGATTTGTTTGGTTACAGCAGGAGAGAGCAAAGCAAAGAGCATGGCAGAAACACAGTGTGAGCAGCTTCAGAAATCCTGGAATCATTGAATGGTCTGATCTGAAGGGACCTAAATCCCATCCAGTCCCACCCCTGTCCTGGCAGGCAAGACCTTCCACTGTCCCAGGGTGCCCCAAGCCCCATCCAGCCTGGCCTTGGGCACTGCCAGGGATCCAGGGGCAGCCCCAGCTGCTCTGGGCACCCTGTGCCAGGGCCTGCCCACCCTCCCAGGGAACAATTCCTAATTCCCAATATCCCATCCAGCCCGGCCCTCTGGCACTAGGAAGCCATTCCCCTCTGGAGCCTCCCTCAGCAAACACTCAGCTCTCAGGGCTTGGGGCTCACTGCTCCTATTCCACTCCTGCCCCGCTAAGGGAAGTGCGTCAGAGCCGACCTGGGGCTACTGAACAACCCCTGTGACATGACAGGGCTGATGGAGGCGGCTGGCACTGAGACACATCATGTCTGAGCTCCAAATAGCTCAGGCAGGCGGTGAACAATCCCTCTCCCAGCTGCCAGCATCCAGCAGGACGTGGCTGGCTTCAGTCAGACCATCAGCATCAATAAAACATTTGGCAAATCCGGGAGCAGCTGTGACTAATGACGGCACCAACCCCAGCAGAGCACAAAGTCATGGTCAGCCCCTGAGTCATGAACAGACTGACTGGAAGGGACCACAGGAATCATCCAGTCCAGGCCCTGGCCCTGCACAGACACCCCAACAATCCCACCCTGGCCATCCCTGGAGCTCCTGGAGCTCTGGCAGCCTCGGGGCTGTGCCCATTCCCTGGGGAGCCTGGGCAGTGCCCAGCACCCTCTGGGGGAAGAACCTTTCCCTGAGCTCCAGCCTGACCCTCCCCTGACACACAGAAGGGTGTTTTGGTTTTTTGTTTGTTTTACAGAAAAAGAAAACCCCACTGTGTTTTTCTCCTTTCATCTTTCCTATTGAAACAGCAGCTTGAGACTTCCTCTAAAGCTCACCAAGGATTTAAATGTACTTCCTGAGAAATCAGGAACACTGGAAAGGCTCACCAAACATACCAAATCCTCCTGGCACCCAGGCCAAGCAAAAGCAACTTTCAGCCCAAAAGGGATTGTGTCAAAAATTTACAAGCAACCCCAAAAAGCAAATGTGAAACTGGGCTGCATTCACCAAGCACCACAGGAAATGTGACCATGGAAAGCTTGTTTCCATTTTATTTCATTTCTTTCTGGCTACCTGGACACACAGAATGGGTGAAACGCTACCAGGAGCACTGCAAACCCAACAAACAACCACTGCCAGCCTCTCCCCCAGTGCACTGGCACCCACCAAACCCTCAGAGCTGTGCTGCTGTTTCAGGAGGAGCTGGGCACTGATGAAAATGGAACTGTGTTGCCTCTGGCTGGGACTTTCAAAAGCAGCTCTTGCAGAGTATCAAGGTATCTGCAAGTAGGCAGCTCCAAGGGCTCATACCTCTGCAACCCAATGGGGAGGCTAAATTTAGCCAATATTCAATGCCAGGCTAAAATAAAAGCCTTTGCTTAACTACTGTTCCCTTTACCTCGAGGAAGGTAAATTGCTTTGAAGGTGAATCCACAGTGAGCACTACCATGGTCTGAGGAGATGCTGCTCTAAGGAAAACCTCTGTTATGCAACTGCAGTATCAAAGAACAGCTCTCCCTGAACCACCAATACTCATTTTGCTTCTCTTGGGCTAATTATGCCCTCAGGGATACTCTTGAAAAGACACTGAGCCTACACCCAAAGACACCAGTTGGTGCAAAATAAATGAGATAATCTTTTGACTACACTGCACTTGTTATTTTAGGGGGAATGATGCTGAGGGAAGAAGGGAATTATTTTATTTTTGTAGCCACAAAAGCCTTCCTGGTGTGTTATTTACAGGAAAAAATGTTATATGACATAAAAAAACCCCAATGCAGCTTCTCTTTTTCACAGCTGAGTGACCACTGAAGAATTTGGTGAGCAGCAGAGGAGGGAGAGCTGGGAGAAGCAGCTGGGCTGCGAGGATACAACAGTTCAGAGTCTTTGAAAGTGCAGATTTATGTAAGCAGATCCTACCAGTGGCTCCAATACTGGCACTACCATGAGCACTGCAGAAGGGAAAATATGGACCCACTTGTCTGGATAATGAATTCCTGTCCCTGGAGTGCCACAAGGAAATCAGAGCTCTCTGGGGAGCCTTCTTTGGGTCAAAAGAATTATGGTAGTAAGGTGACCTTCTCTCCAGCACTGCTTTGTTTTCCAAATGTCCACTTTATACAAAAGCACAGTTCCATTCACACCCAAACCCAAACGAGCAGGAGTGAGACTGAGCCAAGGGGAAATGCTCCAACCACCACACAGAGCACAGGGCCAGCACAGAGCACTGCCCCCATCCCCTGCTCTCCTTAGTAGTAACTGAATAAATAAAAACAAAAGGCTGCCACCTTAAACACAAAACCAAGTAAAATATAAATAAAATGCAGTCAAATACATGACAAACAAAACCAAAGTAACTGCCACCACAGCCTTCAGGAGTGAGGCTGAAAAGATGGACTGGTCCAAGGCCTGCACTGGCCCCAGCGAGCAGCAGCTCCCTGGGGCCATGAGGAGAAGGCAAAGTCTCTGCCACTCCTTGCTGAGCCCTGGGGTCACTCCTCACACCACACAGTAAAAGAACGGCTCTTTGCTTCCCAGCTGTGCCAAGGCTAATGCCAACCCAGTGATCAAAGCTGGCAGCCACGGGCAGAACACTGCAGGCACTGCAAAGCTCAGGCCAAAGAGCAGCTGAGCCCGGAGAGCAGCAGGGCTGGGCTGCACAGCTGGACTGGCCCAGGACACGCCAGAGCCCAGAGCTCAGCCCTCAGTGACACTGGGGCATTCTCAGGAGCTTCAGGAGAGCAGCCCAGGCCAGCCCCATCCCTACAAGTGCTGAATAAATGTGAGGATGTGGCTCCTGAGGTCACGGCTTAGTGCTGAACATGGTGGTGATGTGGTGTTGGTGGTTGAACTTGATGATCTTAAAGACCTTTTGCAACCTTAACAGTGCCATTATAACACTGATTTAGCAGCAAGGCAAGCACACTCCACCCCAAGAGAGAAAAGAAACCGGACTAAACTCCCTTCAGCCTCCATGTGAGCAGCAAAAGGAAGATCCCATCAGTCTCCTCCTGGCTCTGCCACTCCCAGCTGAGGCTCCTGAACTGCAGGGCTCAGTCTGGCTCTCCTCATGCTGGTCCTTTGTTTTAGAAAAAGACATGAAATCCACTCCAACTGCTCTCATTGGAGAGCTGCTGATCTAAACATCTAGTGGATGGTTAAAATTAGTCTGAACTACTTCCTTTTCTGGAAACAGTGTTTCAGCAACAAATCAGAGTTTGAAACTGAGATAAAAGCAAGGGACTAAGTTGCAAAACAGATGCAAAGCTGATCTTTAAATACTCCCTGACAAACCTACACTGTGGGAGCTGCAGAGTGTGGGACCATGGACACATCTCTCAAGCTGCCCCAGCAGGTACATCAAACCCTGGGAGCTCCAGGCACCGCATGAGGAGCTGCCCAGGAGCCAGCAGTGTCCTGGGGACATCAGGAAGAGCATTCCCAGCAAGGCAGGGAGTGATCCTGCCCCTCTGCTCAGCTGAGGTGAGGCACATCTGCAGTGCTGTGCCCAGTTCTGAGCTTCACAGCTCAAGAAAGACCAGGAGCTACTGGAGAGGGTCCAGTGGAGGCCACAGGAACAATTTGGGGTGTGGAGCATCTTCCTGGTCAGGAGAGACTGTGGGAGCTGGGCCTGGTCAGTCTGGAGAAGGGAAGGCTGAGAGGAACCCCATCAATCCATAAAATATCCCCAGGGCTATCAGAAGATTGTGCCAGGCTCTGTTCAGTGGTGCCAGTGACAGGATGATGAACAATGGCCATGAACTAAACCACAACCAATTCCATCTCCACATGAGGAAGAACCTCTTCCCACAGAGTGGCAGAGCTCTGGAACAGCTGCCCAGGGCAGGCCTGGAGTGTCCCTCTATGGCCACAGCCCAAACCCCCTGGGACACATTCCTGTGCCACCTGCTCTGGGGGACCCTGCCTTGGTGCTGTTGGACTGGGTGATCTCCAGGGGCCCTTCCAGCCCCAGCCATTCCGTGTGTGCTCTCCTGTCTGTGGGTCAGGCCTGCCACGAGGGCCCAGGGCAGCCCCTGACCCCACAGAGCCCCTCTCCCACTGCTCTGCTCAAAGGCAGCTCCAAGGCTCTGAGCTGTGCCCCAGCTGCTCTGGCAGAGCCTCACCTTGTTTAGTGAGTGCCTCCCTCAGGGCCGGGGTGATCATCTCTCTCCTCTCTGCTCCAGCAGCTCCTTCCTGCAGCTCCTGCTCTCTCTGTTGGAAGAATTACAGGGAATTACAGCCAGTTAGAGCCAGCTTCACCTCAAACACTGGGGCACAACCACACACCTGCTGGACTAAACCGAGCCAAGTGCCACACAGCAATTCCTACTTCCCTCTAATCCTGCATCTCATTCCTCTTCCCAGCAGTAACTTAGGATGGTAAACTGGAAAAGGAACACCCCCAGCACACCAGATTTGTCCCACTGACACAGCCGTAAAATTCCCAAGGATATTTTAACAACCAGGCTGTGAAATCTCACCCAAGAGTGACTCCAGGTTTTTTAAGCCCCAGTGTTTCATGAGTGCACAACAACTTCACAATAACCAAACCACTATGTGCCTGGAGTGCCACTGCTTGGGAGAATTCAGGGAGCACCCCCAGCACTTCACACAGCAGAGGAGTCCTGGAGCATCCACCAAAATTCAGCCACTGCAAAGGCCTGCAGGAAAAGGCTGCTCCTCCTACCCACAGCCCCTCCAGCAGCAGCCCATGGAAGTCTGGCTTCCAGCTGCTTCCACACACAGCTAAGCCCTGGACAGGAGCTCCAGATATTGGGATAAAGTCATAGGCAGGAGAAGCAAACCCTGGCACGTAACAAGTGGTGACTCCCCTGCTGTGTGAGTGTCACTGCTGAGACTTTATGGGTATTTATTGTTTCATGTCTGCACAAAGAAGCATCAAAGTGGAAATAATTACTTGGATATTTCATGCAACTTGTAATCTGTCAGTCCTTTATGGCTTTTATTGAAGGAGTTATGGATAAACAACAAAAACCAGCAGAGGACATTTTGTCTTGACAACACTGAGGCGATTTCACATCCAAGCCTCTTTTGTGCCAAAGCCATGGAAAAGTTAATGGAAATGCTTTCAGTTTGAGTCTCCTCACCAACTGTCAGCATCACTAAGGAAACCAGTGCTCCTGACTCGCCAAACTGCTCTTCATAAACAGGGAAAGGAGTCTGCCTGCTCCTGCACATGAACAGACTGCTTCTGTACCTGAGCGAGAGCTCACAAAATAAAAGGTGCCTCCAAGAAAAATACATTTTAATATTAAAACCCACACACACAGAAGTTCAAGGACAAAACAGAGCTCCTAATAAACACTTGAGAAGGAAATAGGAGAGTAAAACATTTAGAGACAGAGAATATTACCTTCCCTACTCATTTTGAATAAAACTACCCACAGCATCAGGGATGTTGTTCAGAAATGTATTTTTCAACAGCCAGTAACACAACATGGTCCTTTCTGAACGAGAAAGCTGCATCCACCTTCTACTTCCTTCCATTCAGCTTCCTGAGCCTTTAGGCAGGACTTCACTGGTTTCTGTAACATATCAAAACTCTCCTGGAAGCCTACATCTAATAATTAATTGCCATTTAGTGGGTTTTAAAGCTCATTTCTGGAGCCTTGATCTTAATTTATCAGCAAGATTCTTCAACAGTAAAATATTAATATTGCTGGGAAAGCTTCATGCATAAGGAAGAAAGGAGATAATAGATAAAAAACTTCATCTTCCAAGTGTTAAATAACGAGCTTGTCCTGCCACAAGCCATCACTTAACGCAGGCCACAGGCAAGGCCCTGCCACAGCACAGACTGAGACCTGGGCTAGAGGAAGGAAGCCCTGCCCATGGCAGAGGAGTGGAACTGGAGGAGCTTTAGAGACCCTTCCCACCCAAATCACTCCCTGATGCTGTGATTTGGGAGCCTCTCAAAGTCCTGAGCAGGATTTAAACATGGACACCTCCTGGCCTGTGCTTTACCATCTCAGGCCAGGTCAGTCCTCCCAGAAGAACTAAATCTCCTCTATGGAGCACACCCTAATATTAAAAATGCAGTCATTGAATTAATTACAAATGAGAGACCACATCCAAGAAAGCCTCCAAACACAGTCCTTCTGCAAGGAAAACATTTGTATTTCTACCTCCCTGTCACTGCAGCACTTGAGAAAAGCACCTCAATAGAGCAACATTCAATTCCTTCCTGGCAAGGCAGAAATACATTTCAATTATCATTTTCCCCTCACAGAGGGGATCATAATTCTCCCTGCCCACACCCTGATGTGAGAGCCTGTAAACAAAACCATGCTTTGGTTTTCCCTGCCCTGCAATACCTGAGCTGTTCACTTTGGCAGGGGATTGGTTGCACGTACTCCTGGTGGGAAATGGAATTCACTGCACAGGGATTTTCACTTATTTGCTTAATAAACCTTTCAGATCTGTTATTGAGGGTTGGAGAGGAGGGAAAAAAAAGTTAACTTTGCACAGAGGAAACTTCTCCAGTTGTGGTGATTTAGTAGAAAGCCCTGCAGTAAATCCAAGGCAAATCACTGTCTTTCCATAACAAATCAAGCAAGCAGTGACAAGAGCCAGCTTTTCAGGCCCTTGAAATACTTCACTGCCAAAAACTGGAGGTGCAGCTCACAAAGAAGAGGGCCAGAGATGAGGAAAACCTCTGGATACAGCCCGATTCCTTGGAAGGCTCAGCAGAGCTCTGGTGCAGGCTGGAGGGGTTTGGTTGTGAATGAAGGCAGCTGAACCTCAGCTGTGATCTCAGCTCTGCAGCTGAAGGGAAAAGGAATCCCTTCCCTCTCCCTCTCACACAGGCAGCACAACAGGCAGAGGCAGCATATTCCCAAGGCAAGGAAAACACAACTTCCACGGACCAAGAGCCCCTGACAAACATGAGGGCCTCAGCATTCCCTGCCCCAGGACAAATCCCAGTCCCAGTGTTTCAAAGGGCTTCCTCCAAATTTGCCTTCCAAACTCAGCCCCAGCCACCCCCAAAGGTGACCACCAGGATGTGCTACTGCCACTTGTCCTCCTCTCTGAATTGCCCTCTCCAGTTCTCGCCCTACTTTGGGAAGGACCTTGGGACACTTGAGCATGTCCAGAGGAGGCAACGAGGCTGGAGAGATTTATTTAAGGTGTTTAGGACATGGGTTGGACTTGATGATCTTGAAGGTCTCTTCCAACCTGCTGATACTGTGAATTCCGTGATTCTCCAGGATGCTCAGGTGCCCAACACCTCCCTGTGTTTCCCACTTTATCCATCAAACACTCTTCAAACTGATTGTGCAGGGGGTAGAAAAATAAAAAAGGCACTGAAACTCCACACAGAGGCTGAGAGAGCTGGGGCTGTTCAGACTTGGGAAGAGGGGGTTGTGTGGAGGCCTCACAGCACCTGCCAGGGTCTGGAGGGGACACAGGGAACCCAGAGACGGACCCTGCATCAGGAACTGGAGGGACAGGACAAGGAGTAACAGGTTCAATCTAACAGAGGGGAAATTAGGGTTTGATATTATGGAGAAATTCTTTCCTGTGAGGGTGGGCAGGCCCTGGCACAGGGTGCCCAGAGCAGCTGTGGCTGCTCCTGGATCCCTGGCAGTGTCCAAGGTCAGGCTGGAGCAGTCTGGGATAGTGGAAGGTGTCCCCAGACCACAGAACAAGATGGGCTTAAGGTCCCTTCAAACTCAAACTGTTCTATGATTCTCTAAATTAACTGAATTTAGCACTTTTAGCTTCATGGCTCTATTTACTGATGTGCCATGGCAGGTCAAAAAAAGCTCCCCCAAAAGCTTTTACTTTCAGAAAAAAATTTACACCCAATTATGACTCAACTTCTTTTCCACTTAACCTCCCAGTGGTCAGACAAAGGGAACCCCTGGCCTTGGCATGATTTACAGCCTCATCCATTTACAAGCTCCAGGATCTTTTCCCAAAAGAAAAGCACAAGCATTAAGCAAACAGGAACATACAGGGCTGGAGCCAGCACTAACAGAACAGCACTGAGAGAACGCTGGCCAGGCTGTCAGAAAAAGCTGCCTGCAAGAAGGATTAGTAACACTTCCCCAGGAGCTGGGGAATGAACTGTTGAAGTTCATGAATTACATGAATGACAGTTGACGTTCACGGAGCAGAGCTCTGGAAGCAATGCCCCAGGGGCAGCAGGACAGGCAGCAATGCTGGCAGCTCCTCCCCTTGCTCAGCCACCTCTGGCAGGGGCACCACTGGCAGAAACCACGGGGGATCTGGGGAGCTGGTGGGACACCAGGCTGCCCACAGGAATGCCATTCCTTTCCTTACAGAACAACCTTCCTGGAAGGCTGAAACACATGGGGAAATGGGGATAGGGAGCCCACTCTACAGGCACCCCTGAACACAAGCACAGGAGCAGAGGGTGCACTCTGGGGACTGTCCTCCTGCAGGGACACAGCTGTGGCTGTCACAATTCAGCTGTGACAGGCAGAGACAGAGCTGCAATTTGCTGAGCCCAGGGATGAGCACCCTGTCAATCCCACAGCACCCCGGCCCTCGCTGCTGTCAGTCATCAGCAGAGACAGCCAGGAGCTCCTGCAGCAGAGAGGAGACCTGAGAACTCAGAGTGAGTGAGCTGTGAACCAGCAAGCAGCCCAAAAGACAGAAAATCTTATTAAAAACAGCTGCCAGAGTCTACATAATCACAGGCTACACACCCACCTCAGCACTGCCCAGTGAAGCACAAAGAGCTGAGAGCAGCACAAGGAGTAAGAGGGGAACGGGGCAATGCAGCACCTGGCCATGCCTGAAACATCAGCTGCCTGGGCCAGAAGGGAAAATTGGGGCAGGTGCTCTCAAAAAGTGGCTCTAAAGTCACAGAATCATGGAATGGATTAGGAGACCCTAAAGCTCACCCTGTTCCACCCCTGCCATGGCAGGGACACCTCCCACTGTCCCAGGCTGCTCCAAACCCCATCCAGCCTGGCCTTGGGCACTGCCAGGGATCCAGGGGCAGCCACAGCTGCTCTGGGCACCCTGTGCCAGGGCCTGCCCACCCTCACAGGGACAATTCCTTCCCAATATCCCATCTCTCCCTGCCCTCTGGCACTGGGAAGCCATTTCCTCTGTCCTGGCACTCATCCTCCTTGTAGATTCCCTTCAAAAAGGGGAAAGACCCTGAGAAGTTCTGACTGATACCAAAAAATCAAAAAAAAAAAAAAAAAAAAAAAAAC